AAAGTGTCAGAACCCGTCAAAGAGCATCACGATGCCCAATGCAGGCGACTCAAAGGGACGTGAGGTCACTCCACACCAATGGCTAGCAGTAACACCTTGTATGCCTGAAGTGATCCAGACTTCTTCATCTATCGAACTGACCTGGGTGCTTCAGAAGGTCGGACTTGCGATTTACATGAGTATGTCTACAAAGCAGGCGAAAATCATGGTGCAACAGAAACCACGCTCATAAACCCAGGAGAAGCCGCCTATAGGCCAGAAGGCACAAACCAGCTATCTTATTGCAATGGCCTCCTGCCAGTGCCGCCGATCCGGGGGACTCCGGATTCGGTGATCTTCGCGGCTTTGTGGCCTCCTCCCTTCTCGATTCTTCCGGTCCTCTTTCTTCTCCTCTGGGGGGGTGCCTGGAGCGGTCCGGGGGCGGGGGCCCGGGGAGGGTTCCGAGGGGAGTGTCCTGGGGGCAGTAGCGGCTAGAGCTGAGGTGGGTCCCCGGGACCCCCCGAAACAGCTTGGGGATGCGCAAATCATTCAAAAACGCCACTCAGAGCGGAAGCTTTTGCTGAGGCTCCTTGTAGTTCGCACGCCGAATCGGCGGACTTGTTGGTTTTGAATGATTCCAGTCTCTTTGGGACATCCTTAGGAGGATGCCGTGTTGGAGCGGTCTTTGGGTCCTCTTGAAGGCATGCTGGACGCAATTTGGAGCCATCTTGGACATCTGATGCCGTCTTGGAGGCCATCTTGGGCTATCTGGGGCCATCTTGGAGCCATTTTAGTAGGTCATCTAGGACGATTTACGTCGCGCGGGCTTCCTTCGGCCGGACCCAAGGGATGGGGTTGGGGGAAGGGGTCAAGACATCTCCAAAACGCAAGCTATTTGGTTCATTCCCACCCGCCCACCCAACGCATAGAAGTACCCGAGTCTCAGCATTTTCAGCGGGCGTCTTTGGATCGACAGTTACTGGCAGCCGATACAGAACCCAGGTGCGTGACGCTGGGGCGATGCGCGCCACGCATGCCAGGCCACGCCAGGCGCCCCTGGGGCCTAAGCGTGTCAGGCACGCCTGATGTGCCAGACGCGCCACGTGCTTCACGGACGCCAAATGTGCCGCATGTTCCTGTCACGCCAGGTGCGCTACGTTCGGGGCACGCGCAGAGTTAGACGGTGCCCCTGTGCACATGAGGAAACATTTCGGCCCCCACCGTCCTTGTCGAACACCAATGCCAAGCTGCGGCAGAGTGTCCATCATGCTGTCTGGTGGGCCTGCGCAGCAGGCAATATGCCACCACCCCCGCCGTCCCTGTCAAACATCGATGCGAAGTGGCTGCGGGGTGCGCGCGCGTGGTCAAGATTTTGACGCGACGTGCAGTTCAGTATCGTTTTTTTTAAGAGGCATGGTGGCCCTGCGCGCAGCGGGCCATATGCTGGCACCCCCGCTGCCCCTGTCAAAACACAGTAAGTGCTCGCGGCCCCCCCCGAACATTACCATTTTTTTCCGCAAAGTGCATGTGCATTGTTTTTGGGCAGGGATATTTTGGGGGTCTTCATTGTCCCTGGTCTGTCGCTGGTCGGGTGGGGAGGGGGTGTACATTAAGAGTGAGCGGGGCTTAAGCTCCCAAATTGAACGCCGCACGGTGTCTCGCTGACTTCCGCCCGCTCTCCCACCACAGATGTAGCACCCGTGGCGGGCAGAGGTCGCCATTGGACGGACAGCCGTTGGGCACCAATGCAGGCGCCAGTGCGCGACGCTCGCGAGCCAGGTGGCGCTCGCGTGCCAGGGGTGCCACGCGAACCAGGTGCGGTGCAGCAGGTGAGCCAGGGGTCCAAGCGTGCTAGGCGCGCCCTGCACCAAGTGTGCACGTGCTCCAGCGTCGCCACGTGCGCGACGCGCGCGCAAAGGGCGCCAGGTGGTAACAAATGCGCCAATGCACATGCTAGTCCGCATGGGCAGAATGTCGACTCACCCACCGTCCCTGTCAAAAGCAGCTGCAAGGTTGCGGCGGTGTGGACACCTGCAAGGTTATGGTGTGTGTGTGCATCGGCAATCATGTTACTGGTGCTTTTGATGTGGATGGGGGGAGCGCACAGCGGACACATATGACGGCACCCTCGCAATCTTCGTCACAAACGGATGCGAAGTGATCACGGGGGGGCCGCTCATGATCAAGGTTTTGCCGCCACGTGCACTTTGTAATAGTGTCTTTGGCAGGGATGCTTGGAGGTGTCCTCACTGGGCCTGATCGTCGGCTGTCGAGTGAGTGTTGTGTTGCGGAATAAGGAGCAGTGATCACCCCCTCCCCGGAGGGGAAGACGGTTGATAATAACATGTGTTTCTTGGGGCCCTCTTGGAGTTCTCTTGGGGCGCTCCTTGTTGCTCAGTGGGCCGTCTTGCTGCCCTTCTGGACCCCTCTTAAGGCGATCTTTGGACCACCTTGAGGCTTCAGAAGCTCATCGGGAGCGACCATGCGAGAAGCAAAATTAGCTCAACGACATTAGGTCTTTGAATAATTTTGTCCTCGGGCTTGTCCTTCGGAGGCTCCGTAGCTACTTGGGACCGTCTAGGGTCCGTCTCGAGACCTCCTGGAGGCATGTTGGAAGCCACCTGGAGCCATCTTGGGCTATCTCGTGCCTTTTTGGAGGCCATCTTGGGCTATCTGAGGCCCTCATTGAGCCATCTTGGGCCGTGTTGGACGCTGCTATGGATCGGTCCCCGCTTGTGTCGAGATCCAGGGTGGGAAGGGGTGACGCTATCCCCCGAGTGACGGCCGCCTTGCTCACCCCGCCCCCCCTCCCACCACAGAAGTAGCACCCTCTTAGCATGGGACAGGCAGTTGGGACACTCGACATTGTTTTTTTGGAAGGGCTGTTTGCCCGCACCCTCCTTGCCAAATGAGAGTGCGAAGTGGTCGCAGAGTGCCCGCGCATGGTCCAATGGTCTGCCGCAGCGCGTGCTTTGCATGTGTCTTTGGCCGGGATGGTGGGCCTGCACACGCGGGGCAGTATGCTTCAGGGGCAGCGATAAGGGGGGGGATAGGCATAGGGGGGGATGCATCGACCCCCAATCGCCCATTGATCGCCGATAGGGGTCCGATAGCCCCAACCTGCCCAGGAAGGTGCGGATTTCACTATCGGAGGCCTATCGCCGATCTATCGGCGATGTATCGCCGATTCCAGGTCGATGCTCCCCCACTATTCCTATTCCCCCCCATATCGTTGCACCTCAATGCTATCCTCCGTCCCTGCGAGAGACAGTGCAAAGTGATCGTGGACGGGACACGAACAGGATGCAGGTGCTGTCGCAATGCGAACGCTGTGTGGCCTTCTGGCAGGGACGGGATTGGCCCTGGTCGGGGCCCAGACGATTTGGGAATGGGGGTGTTTATCAATGGGGAGCAGTGGTGTTCCCCTCCCCGAAGGGGAATAGGGGGGCTGGATGGACGAACTCGCTACACTACGTACGACCAGAAGGCTGGTGGGCTTCAACTTGACGAGCCACTCGTCGAGCTGGTGCGGAACAAGTTGATGATGTGTGAGTTGATTCAGGGTGCTTCTTGACATTTCCAGGACGCGCCAGAAGTTGAGCATGGTTTTTGTCGGTGCAGGGAAGCGTCTTTGGGTTTTTGGAATCCCGAATGATTTCTACTGGAGGTGTATATATGCAACAGTGCAAGGGTGCACTGGAGGCCGAGGCTGTGGCATTGGATGCAGGTCCGACGGCCCTTCTGAGTGCCCTTTCCTTCCCTCCTCCCTTTCCCTGATAGACCTCCCCCCTCGTTTTCTTCCCTCCACAGCAGTCTCTCCTCGTAGCACTTCTACAGAAGTATGGCACATGTGGTTCATGGTCTCGCGCTGAGAACTCAGACACAGTTTTTGAAGCGTAATCCAGAACTTACTCGTTGGAATTCTAGACGCTTCGCGTATCCCCACCAGCCCGTCCAGAAACGACGCCCAGGCGAGTAGAGGGTCGTCCTGAGGGGCTTTTCGGCGTCTTGGGTGCCTCGGGGGAGCCTCTGTGGGCCGTTCGGGATCCTGTTTGGGGCCTCCTGGGGGCATCTTGGGGCCTCTTGGGGCCATCTTGGGGCCTTTGGGGGCCTCCTGGGCGCTTCTTGGGGCCATCTTTGCCCCTTGGGTGCCTCTGGGGGGTCTCTTGGGGCCTCTTGGGGGTCTCTTGGGGGCCTCCTGGGGGCCTCTTGGGGGGCCTCTTGGGGCCATCTTGGGGCCATCCTGCGGCCTCTTAAGCGCTCTTGGAGGCCTCAGAGGCGCTGGTAGAGCCATGTTGGAGGGGATCTGGCAAAGAAAGCGGAAGCATTTTTTAGCGTCGCCCTTGTAGAGCCTTTGAAATCGCCTCCTGAACCCCTCTTGGGGTGTTCTTGGAGCGTTCGTTGCCGCTCTTGGCGCCGTCTTGGGGCTTTCTTGGGCCCCTTTTGGAGCTACCTTGAGCCATCTTAGAGCCATTTTGACGCCTCGGATGTGCATCGCAAGCGAAAAAGTGAGAACACCAAACACATTGATTTTCCATATGGTTTTGAAGCATGCTCTTGTGAGTACTTGGAACCGTTTTGGGAAGCTCTTGGAGCGTCTTGGAACATCATGGGGACCATCTTGAGGCATCTTGCGCTATCTTGAGCCATCTTGGAGGTCATCTTGAGCTCCCTGAGGCCCTCTTGGAGCCGTGTTGGGCCATCTTGGACGCTCTAACTACCCGCGGCCCCCCCTGTCCAGGTCAGTGGGGAGGGGGTAGGGGGAGGGGTAAACCCCTCCCCGAAGGGGAAGAAGGAGGGGTGGAAGAGGAAACGCTCTCAACCACCGACGCCCAGAGGGCTGGTGGGATTTAGTTTCTTCTCGGGACATGCGCCCTCACTTGATGCTGGCGACAAGCTAGTGTAAAACACGTTCTTGCATCGTGTTCGCTTCATCAGCTGCCAGTGTGGTGGTGCACACGCACACGCTTTTGGAGCGTGTGTGTTGGCAAGAAGAAATTCTCAGTGCAGCCTGTCCTCAGGAGACGGAGGAGGAGGAGGAGGAGGAGGAGGAGGAGGAGGAGGAGGAGGAGGAGGGAGGAGGAGGAGAGGTGCGGAGGGGGGGGGAATTGGGCGCCCGCAGGACATTCGGCGTGCCTCGGGCGCGCGCCAGTCACGGGGGGAATCCTTGTGTCACTCCGGCAGGGCGGTGCCTGCTTGCCAGGGATTGGCGGCGGAGCTTGCGCCCGAAGAAGCCGAGGCCCTCTGCGCCCCCAGTCCGACGGTGGGCCCAGCGGCACCGCACCGGGTACCCACCCCGTGGATACTTCGGAGCCCCACCGAGAGTCGTCACTTCAGGGCCCTCTTCGGGCACTGCAGCACGGCCCGCGTTGGGGAGGGCTGTAGTCGCCAGGTCGCTCGCGGGCACTCTGGAGGAGGAGGAGGAGAAGGAGGAGAAGGAGGAGGAGGGGGAGGAGGAGGAGGAGGAGGAGGAGGAGTTGGAGGAGGAGGAGGAGGAGGAGGAGGGGGAGGAGGAGGAGGAGTTGGAGGAGGAGGAGGAGGAGGAGGAGCAGGAGGAGCTAGGCTGGCTCCAGTCGGCAGGGGCTGTTGCCGGGCAGGGCCGCGTCGACGTCGCTTCGGGGCCGCCGACTGCGTGGCGCACGGGCCTCGCTCGTCGCCGAGGTCGGAGCGCAGGCACACGTCGGCCAGGCCGAGTGTCGGCCGCTCGAGAGGCCGTGCAGCAGGTGCGCTCCCGGCGACTTGGGCGCCCGAGTTATCCGTGGTAGCTCGGGCCCGGGGTAACGCGGGCTTGGATTCCCGAACAACGAATCCGAGTTAGCCCCGACCCGAGTTACCCCTGATGATTTGGGGCTCTGGGCGCCCGAGTTGTCCGGGGTAACTCGGGCCCGGGGTAACGCGGGTTCGGAATCCCGAAAAGCGGACCCGAGTTAGCCCTGACCCGAGTTACCTCTTATGATTCGGGGCTCTGAGCGACGCCCTCTTACCGGGCTGGGTTCGTCCCACCCACATACGGCGGACGAGCAGGTCCCCCAGGAAAGCGATGTGGGCCCAGCTTGAAGTTTCGGTTAGAGTGATTGAGGGGAGCTATTCAGGCCGCATTTTGTTTCCCCGATCCGTGCAGCGACGCTTGGGCTTAGTTGTCTCTCGAAATGGCCAGGGGGCTTATTTTAGTTTCTTGGTTTTCGATTTGGAAGGTTGAAAGAGGACATGCAGAACTGATCGAAACCGTACAACTACCCCGTCACCTGGGAGCGGAAGCAACAGGCAGTTGACAACGACAGCTCTGGAATGGGGCAGGGTCGGTCAAGTTCTTAGTTGGTTGAAACCATATCGGAAACGTATCGGGAACGTATTGCAACCAGGGGGGCATGCGGAGACTTGAGTACGCAAAAACAACAGAGGCAGCTAAAACAAAACGATAAGTTTTTTCAGACATCGGAATCCGCACGGACTCGACAGCGTACATAAACGTGAAAGTTCCAAGCGGAAAAACGCCACGACCGTTTTGAGAGACATCTAAGCGCCCGTGGACCCTGACACTTGGCCACTGGGGGCTCCTTCAGCCTCCGTACCAAACTCCCGCAAGGCGTGACTGCCTGCCAGCCAGGGGTCATAATCGAGCGGTCCTGCAGCGCCGGAACCAGCCTGCTCCTCCCGCTTGCGGCTCAGGTGCTTCAAGATTCGGGGGTGGACAGAACCCCCAACAGTGACACGTCGATTAGTGAATTGTCCGTTTTCGGTTCTCGAGAGGGCGCCGTGGCCGTTATTTTCCAGGCCTGCGCCCGCCAGGTTTGGGCCTCAGGTCGTTTTCACTAAACCACGTTTTACTAAAGGGAGGTCTGTCCATCCCCGAAAGATGAGCCTCACTTCCATGATAGCAGGGTCCCTTCCAGAGGGGCCCCCCGATGGAACCGGGTGAGCGCCCGAGCCCCAAGACTGTCACAGAGACCTCTCGGTCGCCATAGCACGCCTCGTCACGGCCTGTATACTTCAGCTCTGACCTCGCCATCGTTAGGAAACTCCTCAGGAGCAGAGAGTCCTCTGCTCAGCATGACGGATAAGGACGGACCCCGGCTTGCCGAGTCCGTCCGCTCTGCGATTGCCTTCCCACTCGAGGGGCTACAGCTTGTCCTCTCGTACATCACTCATCACATCGTAACATGTGCAGGCACCTTCTTGGGCAGCATTCCTCCCAGGCCTGGAGCCCCAAACGAGAATTGGCCGCAAATGCGCTCTCACGCTGGTGGCTCCGCATGCCACGGGACGCGACATGCAGCACGAGCTGCGTAGAGGGTATCGCAGCTTCCCATCGGGTTTCTGGCGGCCACATCTACACCGCGACATCTTCGCCATTCCGCGCCACCTGAGCAGGAGGCATGTGCGGCGGCACAAAACAGTACCAGCCTGCTTGAATCGAATCTGTTCGAGGTTACTGACCACCCTCTGCAGACCCCCTCGAACGGACGGGGAAATGAAGTCGAACCCCAAGCCGTCGCAAAAGATGCGCCCCCTTGAAGGACTAGGGCGGCAGGCATCCCCTCAACCCCAGGGTCCCAAGGTTTCCTGTCCGGCAGCTGGGAGGGTTCAAGAAGCATGCTTCTCGCGAAGCGCTACTGGAGCTCCACAGGCCTGTTATTCAGGAAGCCGACGGTCTCCGCAGCTTCTGGCGGGAGACCATCCCTGCGCCAGGGCTGCGCAGAGCAAGTGTCTATGGAAGAGCGTACAGATAGGCCACAGATCCGAGTCATGCTGAGCGAGGCGGTGCTGCCGATGACCAGGCCCCTCAGAGATCTCTGCTCCCTCGCGCCCCTCCCGTCGGACTCCCCGTCGCTGCCGCCACCCCCAGCCCTCCAATGGAGCAGCTCGTTCAGTAGCCTTCAGAACATGCCACCTTCCTTGGAATTTGCCATCCTGATGCGGCTCAAGGCTGCGAGGCTCGAAAACGACCTGGTCGCCAATCAAGCTCTCTCGGCCGAACATCCTCGTGAGACGTCCCGGACGCCCCATACAGCGCCCTTGGGCTCATGGACCCTCCAGGGGCTTTCGACACGAGACGGAGTGCGAGTTGCCGTCAAGAGTCGGCGCGGCCATCGGATCCGGGGCTCCAGCCGAAGGGCGAGGGAGGCGCCAGCCCCAGGACAGAGCGAGAGGACGCCCTCCGAGAGCATCCTAGAACGCACGACGTCGCAGGACCTCCGCACAGGGCTGCGGCCACGCCGCCCTCCTCGCGCCGCTGCCCCGCCTCGGCCACCGCGGCCCGCGCAGGCCCATTGCCTGCGCCTCCGCCCGCCGGCGTGCCGCGCCGTTGGCCGAGGCGGTGGCCTCGCGCCCAGGCCGCCGGGCCGCTGGAGCCTGCTGGGGCGGCCCGGGGGCCCATGAGCTCCTCGGCGCCGGCGCCGTCGGCCCCCGGCGCGGCGGCGCAGCCGTTCGAGCAGGTGGGTCGTGGCGAAGCCCCCCCGCCGGGGAGGCGTCGCCGCCCTGGGGCCAGCCGAGCGCAGTGGGGGCGGCGTGCCCCGGCTGCCAGGTGCCGCGGGGCCCCTGGGGCCGGGCGCCGCCGCCTCCGGGGCCTCTGGCGCGCCTATTGGGCCCCTCCCGGGCCCCTCTGGGACGCCTTGGGCCCCTCTTCGGCCCTCGCGGACGCGTCTTGGGCCCCCCAAGCTCTCGGGCCGTCTTGGACTGGCCTTCGGGGACTCTTGGGCTGTCTTGGACGCTCTTGCAGCCGATGCTGCGAGCGCCTCGAGGTTCCGCATAATGGACCTCGAGGGGTTCGACGGATTTTGGCATCCTGGTCTGGCCCCCCCAGACCCCCAAAAGAGTGCCGAGGTTGCTCCCCGAGAGGGCTCGGCTCTAGCGGGCCTGGAAGGCCCGAAGGTAGTCAAGCTGGCCCCCATATCGCCAGAGTTCACCTCCCCCCTCCTGGCGGGGAAGTGACCAAAGGGAAGGTGCTTCCCCCTTCGACTCTGTTGCGACCTTTGTCAATTCACCTGGAGCTGGCGAGTTTGGAGAGCCCCGGGTAGCCGTTTGGCGGGCTGCCGCTTATTCCCGCCACCTGGCGGTAGCCGCACGTGCGGATGATCCACCCGCGTGGCAGAGACAGCTTCAGTAGAACATGTCCTTTTTCTTGTTTGTCCTCATTATCATCCTCATCGTTCTTGTCATTCCTTGTTCCCCGTCTGATGTTCGCTGTTCGAAACACCTCTCTTCCTGCGGTCGCGCTGCCCCTGTGCCGATCTTCTGTCAGGGGCATGGTGTGTGACACGCCAGACTTTGGACGTGGTGAGCATGGACGTGAAGTTGATACATGCTCTCGAGCCCGCACTTCTGCGCACCGCTACTTCGCGCGGCAGGCGTGGTTCGCCGACGGGGCCCCTGAGACCTGCGTCGCAGTCTGCACGTGCGAGGGACACCGGCACGCGCGAGGGGCATCGGCTCCATTGCCAGACCTGTCCACTGGGACTGCACCGCGCCTGCCCTTCTCTTAGAGCGTCGGTCACGGCGCGCACCGCTCGTGCACGCCGGTACCTCACCATGCCATTATGAGGAGGAGGGGCGGAGGAGCAGCATAATGAGTCTGGGGAAGACGAGCAGGAGGAGCAGCAGGAGCATGATGCTGCTGCTGCTGATGATAATGATGATGATGCTGATGCTGATGCTGATGCTGATGCTAATGCTGCTGATGATGACGATGATGATCATGATGATGGTGATGATGATGCTGCTGCTGATGATGAGGATGCTGCTGATGATGATGTTGCTGATGATGATGATGATGCTGATGATGCTGCTGATGATGATGCTGATGCTGATGCTGATGCTGATGCTGATGCTGATGCTGCTGATGATGACGATGATGATCATGATGATGGTGATGATGATGCTGCTGCTGATGATGATGATGACGATGATGATGCTGCTGATGATGATGATGCTGATGATGATGCTGATGATGCTGATGCTGCTGATGATGATGATGCTGATGATGCTGATGATGATGCTGATGATGCTGATGATGCTGATGATG